ATATTTGGTTGTGTTTGTGCAGCAAACGCGTACGAACGCATTCTGTAAAACGCGGTTAAAATCCGAGAGTGAAAAGTCACCGTTAGTTAAAAATGTGCAGGTTAGCTTAAGGGTACCATGTTTGAAGGGTGGGGTGGACAAAGTTAAAAGGTTATATCCAGAACGTTGTTATCAAGAGGCAGAAAAGATGTGCTTTTTTGTTTTTGTTTGAAATTAATAGTCAGATAATATGTTTTTCTCAAGAAAAAGCTTTCAAAAAGCGAGTGAGAGAATAGTCATATGGTCAACTAGGATGACTGACTCATTCGTTTTTTTAGGTTGTATAAAACTGCATTGAAACATCAGATTTTTATAAATTTTCAACGTAAAAAAATTCTTGGGAATTTTTATTAAAAAATAGCGTTTTTTCACGTTTTTGGCCTTTTCCGAGGTCAAGAATGTTCGAGAAATGAAAAAGACATAACTTATTCTGTAGTAAATTTTTAATTCTCTACAAGACCGAGACCAAAAGTCTAAGCAAAAAGTTTCATGAACGTTCGAAAATGTCAAAACAATGCGATGGACTAGAACTGAAAGTTTTAGTTTTTTATACTTTTCTTCATCAAAATTTGGTCAAACCCTAGAAATAAGGTCACGATCAGTATCAGCGTAAAAAACTATGCCAGAAAATGTGTATTTTGAAGTTTTTAGGTTGAAAACAGAAAAATTCATTTTTTTGTAACCCATCGACCAGGTCGTCGACTTTTGGACGAAATTGAAATCTCAAAACGCAAAGTTAGGCCACTTGATTAATTGAACTATACATGTAGATTTTTGACTAATGGGAGATACTATGTTAAACTTTTGAAACAATTTTCGTAGAGGTTTGTAGGAGATTTCTAGAGACTAGTTCTTCAAGAACCTTTTACAATCTACAATTTTATGTCAGCTAACTCACAGATGAGTTTGTATAAAAGTCGAAAGCGGGAACTTGATATTAGGTTAGGATAGGTTGTAAGTTCAGAAAATTTAGGTTAGGTTGGGATAAGGATGCTGAGTCTCTAGGTTAGGTTAGATTAAGATTGAAAACTCGTAGGGTTGGATAGATTTAGGTTGTCAACCTTATAGGAAAGCATAGGTTAAGGACGCTAATATTCACGTAGAGTAAGTTACAGAATACAAAACAATCGCAATCTGCATATCGCTACCGTCAGTATAAAAGTCAGAAGACGAAATTACATAGATCCCGTGTTTTTTTCGAAAAATCTCCCATTGGGTAGACCCTCTCAAATATCCTTGGATCGATTACGTTCAAAATTGGTTAGATTTCAGTGATGCCCAAAGTAACAAGTAGACAAATATATAAATGCAAATGAAAGCTGTGACATCTATCTTTTTTAAAAGACAAAGAATCATGGACCGAGGTGCATAGATAGAGAATTGTAAAAACTATTTTCCAAAGGAAAACTTGTGCAGTATAAGTTTTTCTGACGGTAATTTGACATTTTAACGTAAAATGATGTCTTTTGGGTTTTAAATCATACAAAAGTTTGAAAATATTCTGATATTGATTCCATCTGATCATTGAAAAAGATTTTACTATGGTCTTTGATAAAATCATCATTTCACTTCATTTTCTTTGCGCATAACACTTATAGTAAAAAAATGCAGAGAAAAAGTTTTTAACATAAACTTCTGTGATAAGTTTTCTGTTTTGTTTTTATTTCTATTGTAGAAAATTTTTATAAATCGTGAATATTCTCCAGTTTGTTTCGGCTAAGGCTCTTAATACTTTCAGCGTTGTCGTGATTTCCTAAAAAGCTTACTATATAACTCACGCATTAATCCAACGATTTAGTAGTGATAAATCTACGCAATTAGTATTCAATGAGTGCATATAATGCATTATGCTCATCTACTTCATCAATCGATCTAAATAATTTATCTCCAATTCAAGTTTTCATTAGAATTAAACCCAATAATTCAAACGATCAATATGAAATAATTCCATTTAAATACTCTAGCAATACTGCAATTCTTACCCTACCTAATTCACCTCCATTGTCATTTGATAATGTGTTTCCACCTCAATCAACTCAATATGATATATTTGAATCGATTATTCCGCTTCTTCATTTACCATTATATGGTTATAATTCAACTATATTTGCATATGGTCAAACAAATAGTGGTAAAACATATACTATGTTGGGCCCTGATGGTAAATTATCTCTAGCTGCTGATTTAATGGGGATCATACCAAGAACAAGTAGATATTTGTTTGCTGCTATACATAAACTCACATCATCGTCTCCATCTATACAATATCAAGTACGTGTGAGTTATTTAGAAGTATATAATGGTCGTGTTTATGATTTACTAAGAAAGAATGATAATAAAAGTAACAACAGGCTGCATTCTCTGAGTATTCGTGGAGACAATCAGGGTAATATAAATGTTACGGATGCAGTAGAAATACCTGTACATAATAGTTTAGAATTAGAGAATATATTAATGCAAGGTAATCAAAGACGTGCAACTGCATTTACATATATGAATTCATCATCATCAAGAAGTCATGCTTTACTAATTATATGGATAGAAAGAAGAGAACGATCAATATCATCATTATCCAGAGAATATACATCTTATTTAGGTCGTTTAAATTTGATTGATTTAGCCGGTAGCGAAGATACTTCACGTTCAAAAGCTGAAGGTGACAGATTTCGTGAAGCAATTAATATTAATACTGAATTATTTCAATTAAGAAGAGTATTAGATGCACTGTCAGCATCTTCATCCTATATTCCTTACAGGGATTCAACCTTAACTCGTTTACTTCAATCATCATTATCAACAACACAGTCCATCACAATATTAATTTCTCATATTAGTTCACTAAATATCGATCTCTCTGAAACTCTTAGTACTTTAAAATATTCTCAGATAGCTAAATGCGTACAACGTACCTCAATCCCTGCACAAAAACTTTGTAAAAATATAGATACGAGTGACGTAATGTTCGGTGATTATAATGATCCAGTGCAATGTTTTTATCGCCGTACAGTTTATATTCATACACCTTCTTATGGGAAAATATTTGCTCGATTAGCAGGACATAGGTATGATGAACAACAGAAATGTATATTACTTATACATGGTTCTGGGCCTATAAATTCTTCAATGTATTGGAATGATCTTGTAAGAAGACTATTATTAACAACGTCATCGTCGTCCTCGCTATCTCCCTATTATTTTGTAGCTATAGATTGTCCAGGTTATGGCCGTTCAGATGGTGATAAACAAACAATTCGTTCTTATCCTGGCGCTTTTATTCAAGAAATAATTGATTGTATTTCACCAACAACACACAAAGTATATTGCCTTATTGGTTCTTCTCAAGGAGCAGCTGCTGTATTCAATGCATTGGTCGAAAAACCCGCCATATCATCATTTTTAGCTGTGCAAGATCCTGTTTCACACGATCCTCAACGTTTTGTGTGTATAAAACAGCCTGCATTATTAATGTATGATACAGATGATGATGGCCATCCTGTTAGCGTTGGCAGATTAGTTAGGAAGTATATTCCAAATAATCATTATTATGAATTTGCAAGTTCAAAACAACCAAAGTGGTTAGAACATAATGCACATTTAAAGTTGTTACAACTATTCGATGAGTATGACGCAAACAATAATATAACAAATGCTTCATCTTTACAGTTAACAGCATCTTCGAAGATTTCTGTTCCTTCTGTTCCTGCTTGTGTATCTGTAGCAGGCGGTATAATCTCATATTTATCATCATATAATCGTGAGCCGCTTTATAAAAATTCAAAGGAAGAATTAGAATCAATTTTATCAGCATATGAAAACCAAAGTGTTCAAAATGACGATTTGTTCGTTGAAAAAATTGAACCTGAAAGGATCGAAGATGACGAAAGTAAAGCGCAAAGACTAGCTACAGAATTAGCCCAAACACAATGCGATTTATGTAACCAACACATTAGTAGCAGTGATATGTCTAAATCACTTCGATTACCCGATTGTCGTCATTTATTGTGTTATTCATGCTGTTGTAAGACAATAAAGCTTAATTCATACGAATGTCCTGTTGTTAGTTGTGCTACAAAACTTAATGTTTCTTCCTCACAGCTATCATTATATTCTTTACCATTCTCTTCAGATAATGAAAAGCATATAATAATACAATTTGGAAATTCTTGTAAATTAACATCATCATCCAGTCAACGCTACGAATACACCGCATATGTGAAATGTAAAATGAAAAATGTGATTGATAGTGTTTCATTTGATATTAATCCCAAATATCCCAAGAGTGCTATACGTGTTTCTGAAGCTCCGTATGAATTAGTTCGAATAATGAATTCAGAATTCACATGTGATTTTATTATTCAATGGGACAAAGCGTTGAACTGGCCTAAATTGCGTATAACTTATTATGTTCAAAGCAAGCAAGACAGTTTTACAAGGAATTTATTAGTGAGAGTACCATATCAAGGCAATACAATGGCTAAATCGCATAAAACACGTGAAGAAGTTGTATATAATTGGACTGATAGAGACAGAACAAAACCCAATATAAACTACGTGGTATTGTCATATGATTATTCATCTCCCTCGAACTGAGTCATTTGCATTTTTTCTGTATTTATTAAATAACTTCAGTTCCAGTGTACTGATTTTGAAATTTTTTTTTACTCTTTTCCTAGACATGTCGTCACTACCGCGTCAGGTGTTAACTTGCTTTTATGTTCCATTTTAAATACATTTATAGAACAAGTGCAAAATGTGAGATTCTGTCGGCAAAATCTTAAGAAAAAGTGTTTTTTCTATTAATATAAAAGAAATTCAACAAAATTTTTTAAACCGTCCATTGTACAGAGAATTCAATTTTTTATAGAGCTGTATGACTTTTATTTAACTTTATTTACTTTCGATACAACTTTAATGGCTCATACAGTTTCACACGCTAAATGTTATCGCCGATGTTGTAGTGGTCAAATAAAAAAGTGAGAACCGGTATTTGAAAAATTAATTAAACGTCCAAAAGATAGAGCACCAAATTTTTGTATAAAATCAATAGATTTTGGTTTCGCTGGTTGAACCTACAGTGCGTCAAAAAAGTTTAGAACTTTCTTTTGTGTTCTTTATAAGTCAACCCTTTTTTTATCTGAACTATACTGTTCATTTTTATATGAAAGTTATTTTCCACCATCTATTCAATTTCATAAACTGCGTCGAAGTCTAGATAATGCTAGTTATTTATTACACCGACCCTCACCCTCCGGTAAAGGGGGAAAGTGCTGACATACAGCACTCTGGCATCTCAGCACATGCTGAGCACTTGTGGATGCTGAGAAGCTTAGAAGGTTAGAACATAAATATTAATTGAGAAGTTGCTTAGAAATAGGGTAACACTATTCAGATTCGGTTTTTTTGCTGCAGCAAAATATTGGTTTATGATTGACAATACCATAACACTTTTCCAATACCATTTCAACACTTTTTGGTTCTTAACCCTTTGAGTACCGGATTATTTTTATATAATAAAAATTTTTATAATTTCAAACTAACCTTTATTTCGCAAAAAATATCACAAAGTATATGAATTAAAATGTTTGTAGAGTGTGATAGTCTTTAAAACAATCCATAAGACACAATCCTACATCATATTCAATACATTCATACGAAGTATCTCTTCTTGATCTGACTCTTCTCACAGTGTTGGCACAAACGTAACATTTTCTTCTTGGATTTAGTTGAGTCTCTATTGATTCAATGCGCGAAGGAAAATGTTATCAAATGTGATCAATTGATCAGAACCTTTACTACAGATGACACTCTTGAATGACTGTGTTAATATGAAAAATCCTGTTGAGAACGATTATTCTTTCTTGGGAAATGTTGTCTAATGACTTATGTTCTAATTCATTGAATCACATAGTGGTTGATAGAAATATTAGGGAACAGCCAATATTCATCACTAGGTACAAATAGTCTTAACTGTACAAATATCCTAAACGCAAATATTCATGTAATTCAGATCATAAAATAATCAAATGATCATGTTTTCTAAAGTTATTCAGACCCTAAACTATCAGGACGCGAATTCGCGTCGCCGGTACTCAAAGGGTTAACTGCTTCCATAGCTATTTAAATATTCCATAACTATTTAAAATTTTGAGCCATTTAAATAGTTGTGTGCTGTCTATTTAACGTTAGATGCCTGTAAATGTCAGCATGAGCAGCTGTTGAAATCGAAACACTATTTAACGATTGACAGCGATAATAAATAAATTGGTATTGGTATTAGGCTGAGGATGAACGATTTATTGAATGTTTCTTATCTTTTTGAGCAAGGGTAGGGAAGGGACGGGCTGAAAAGAACCTTTTCGATAAAAATGTTCATTTTCATTGGTAAGAATTTTAAAAGTAAAAAAAAGTCCATTCGATCATTTAAATGGCAGTTCTTTTTTCTTCTTTTTTTCGAAGTCACTGGATGTAATAAAGTATTTTTTCAATATTGATAATTGGAAGAAAATTCATACGAAGAAGTTGATCGAAAAAAGAATTCTTAGAAAATTATATTAACAAATATCAATCTTATATTGTTAAGCATCACATTTACAATAACTATACACCATTATAGAATATTTTTTACAGCTGAAGTTATATCAATTGAAACCATTTGATTCGATCTAAATCTGGATCAAGTTTTTTTTTATTATACTCATGATAAAATATTCCTTCCATTTGGACTTTAAACTTATTCTCGTTTATATATTCAACAGACAGAATATATTCATTTGGCTTGACATGCATGGTTTTTTTTTTATTTTTCGAAAATGTTATAGACAACCAGCTTACTTGATGTAAAACTTACAACGAAAAGTTTCCTGCTGTAACTTAAAAACAATGGAGATATTCGAATCAAATTAAAGGTTCCATTGCCAAACTAACGTATTTAAATCACGACATGCTTATGGCATGCCTGAAGTAAGATGTTCAAATTTGAAGGTATATATTATGTATGTTAGGTATCCATGATTCAAAATTTCCGATGGTTTTATTATCATTTTTTATGATGATTGTGTATGTCTCATCCAGTTGTATAAAAAAAGGTCATACCTCAAATTTACTGAGAAAATTTCACGAAAAAGGTTGAAGATACCGTGATTTTGAAATAAAATAGAAAATAGCGTGAAAACTTCTGAGCTTCGTAAAATTTTCTTAGTGAATTTGAAACATGACTTTTTTTTTAAGCAACTCGATTAACGCTACTCGATCATCATAAGAAATAGTTTTATAAAATCTTTTGAGTATTTGGAATGCCAAATACCTAACATACACGGAAATGTCATAAAATTTGAATATCTTACTTCAGGTATGCTATAAGCATGTCGTGATTTAAATATGTTAGTTTGACAATGGAACCTTTAATCTGATTCGAATATCTCTCGTGTTTTTAAGTTACAGTCAGAAACTTTTGATAGTAAGATTTGCATGAAGTAAGCTAGTTGTCCATAGCATTTTGAAAATAAAAAAACCATGCATATCAACTCAAATAAATATATTTTGTCTGTTCAATATATAAACGAGAATAAGTTTAAAGTGCAAATGGTAGAAATATTTTTATCATGAGTATGTAACTATTAAACATGATAGAATAACATATTTTTATATCCGCTCAAATTTTGAAAATGAATGGTCATAAGCCTAAGTTAGATTTAGATCATCTTCGAAACTCATGGTATAGGCAAGAGAATAAAAATGTGTGAAATGTGTTTTCTTGACTTTATGATAAGATATAGCAACCTCGACTTCAGATACTGTTGAAATATATGTTCTTTATCTTTTGTTATTATGAAGTTATTCAAGAGATACGGGGTGTGGGTGTGGGGTCTGTGTGCGGGTGTTAGCATAGTTCTATATTTCACCCACACCCACACCCACACCCATGCCCAAACTCCACACCCCCACCCCGACCCTCACTCCAACACTCCAACACTCCCACGCTCTCAAATGGGTGCTAAGTCAAATGGATACCAACTGAGATGGTTAGCAAGTTAGTTGGTTACTAAGTCAGATGGTTACCAGGTCAGTTGGTAACCAAGTAAGTTGGTTAGGGTGTGTGAGTATGGATGTGGATGAATGACGTATGGTACTTATGTCAACACCGAAATTCATACCCCACATCCACACCCGAATTCAAGTAAAAGAAAAGACGACAAAGAGTTAAAATGACTTATTTGTTGTTACGAATAATTAAATGTTTTCAGTCAGTGTATCACACTTGGAAGCATTGATGCTTTCCAGATAGAATTCATCTGTTTGGTTCCCAATACTCCAATTTCCTTGCATCTTAAATTCTCCCAAGTTATCGCAATAGATATTTCCATTGTATTCAACAGCATGTCGTCCAACGTATTGCTTTGTGAAGGAAACCTTTCCTTCATTATCATAATTTCCAGCCATTGTGAAAGGTCCGATTTTATCATTTCCTTGACCTGAAACTCTTCCTTCTCTTAAGCTAAAGAAATCAAAAAACATATCAAAAGCTTGATTGTTTTGATAATATTTTCCTGTTACAGCACCACCTTCAAACCTTGTAATGACTTGAGATCGATGAGATTCTTCATCTTTTTTCTCTTCAAGAGCTGTACTAATCCGTTGTACAAGAGTATCAATAGCGTAGTTGAATTGACTATCATCTTGCATATTAATTCCGTTTAAGGAAGCTATTATCATCCCTAACCATGTATTTTGGAATCCGTTCTCGTTCTCAAGAAGAATAGGAACAATATTCTTCTTTAATTGAACAGCATATGTAAGTTCTTTTTGACAATTAATGCTTTTGCTATAAGCAAGAGTATCGAAACTAATAACCATCACAGCACCTTCAACACCATAAGCCATAGCAGAATTGATATTTCCTTTCATATCTCCAGCAATATCAAACCAAATAGGAATATTCCTTTGTTTGAGCATATCTGCTACTCGTTTAACAAGCTCTTGATTATTCCATTGATAACTTAACATGATATGCAAACCTTTAGGTCCTGATGATTGATTACGAGAAACTTCTAAATGGAAGTTGTCAGATAAATGATTTAGATACCATTTTCCATCAAAGAAGAATTGAGATTCATTATGAGTTGTAGTTCCAGAGTATTGAACATCGTGTTGTCCGATATAATGCTTTTTAAACTGGAATTCAAAATCTTCTTTATCTGATAAACAAGTATATTTCCCATTGATCACAAAGCCACCGATTTCATCATCTCCTTGACCAGCAATATATCCATTTGTCATAGCAAACATATCAAACTTCATATCAAACTTCTTTCCCCATTGCATATAATAACCTTGAATAAGAGTACCATCAACAATAGCAGCAAGACGTTGCTCGTCATCTAAAGTATCGCTGATATATGGATGCAATTGTCCTATAAGATTATCAAGTCTTTTCTCAATGTCATTTGCATTCGTTATCCTCGTCCATAATGCACCAGCGCAAATGACACCAAGCCAACCACTTTGAGAATAACGATCTTGCGCCTTTACGGGAACTATAGGAATACCAGCTTCATCCACATAAGAAAGAACATACTTCGAAATATTAGATGCTTCATATGCTTCACTCGTTAATGGTATAACAACTCTTGCTTCTTCAGCTGCTATTTTAATCATCTCATGCATTCGTAATGGTGGGCAAACAGCTGGAATACCTTTAGCAATCAATCCTTCAGTTATCTTTTGAGCCAAATCATATTGACATGGACAATAGGAAATCATAACTTTACTTCCTTGTCTTCGTGAAGCTTTTGGTGGTGATATCTTTTCCATTTCTGTTGTATATGGCTCTGGAAGAGTCAGATGGATGGAAAATCTGTCATATATGTTGCCTATTTCCCAGTATCCTTCTATCACACATGTCATTCCCTCGAAAGAAATTTTTCCTTGATATATAACAGAATGTTTTCCAACATATTGCTTATGCATATTGATATCACCATAGCCATCTTCAAGCTTGTATTGACCAGCAAGAGTAAAAGCTCCAACTTTATCATCTCCTTGACCAAATACTCTGCCTTGTTCCAAACCAAAAAACTAATGGAAATATATAACTTAGATATTAATATATCTTTCAATTCAATTCATTAAATACCTCAAATTCCATCGGAAACTCTTGATCAAACTGATGATAAGTAGCGATTACATCTCCCGATCTACTTCCGCCATAAAATAGATGCTTTTCTATTGGTTGTGATTCATTTTTTTCATCTCTTTCAAGAACAAGATTATTAGTTTTGACCCCCATAGAAATGAAGGATTTCAGCACTTCATTAAAATCAGTTGAGCAACTCTTTGTGGGGGCTAAAATAGCACCTAACCAGCCACTAGGTTGAAAACCCTCACAAATCTTAATATTTAGAATCGGAGTTTTAGTTTGATCAGCGTAATTCAATAGTTTTGCTCCACTTTTCGACATTTGTAATGAAGGAGATGGAAAAACTAGAACCACAACAGCATTTTCAATACCATGTGCAATTTTAGTATTGATGTTGTCATTTTCTCTAGGATGGTAAACTCTCAATCGTCGCTGAATGAAATGATTCTTCAGTTTTTCAGCCACTCTTACATCAGATTCATCTTTTTCTGCATAAGCAAAGAATATATGCTTCTTCTCTTGGTGTGACGGCGTTACTGTTTCCGGCATTTTTCCA